AAAAAAAGATTTTTTATATTTCTATTTTTTTTTAAAAAAAATTATTAATAATAATATATAAAAAAATAGTCTAGCAATAACTACAAAAAAGAAAATAAATAAATCATTCAATATACATGATTATAAAACGACTATATAAAGACATAGATATATCTTAAAAATTTATTTAAATAAATAATTAATAAGATTTCGAAAAAATAGAAAATGAAAAAAATATTTAAGGCATAATCACAAAATAGCCAGAACACATTCCAACATCTACAAAAGAATTATAAAAAAAGCAATAACCGTAATAAAAAATAGATTAATAATCACAATAACAAATAATTTAACTAAAATCAACAAAAAATACGGGTTTTTTTCGAATAATGGGAAAAGATATTTTACCTTATCATGAGATATATGAATTAAAAGATAATGATTTAATTTTTATAAAAGATTTTAATGAAAAATATAAGACTAATATAACTTAAGAATATTTGGAGCAATTAATAGGTATATTTGAATTAAAGTCAGGAAAGAATTTCGTTGTTTCATGGATAGATATGAAAGATAATTTCACATAAGAAGAAATTAATAAATATTCATTAAATTTGCTTGAAAAGATATATATTTATTGGAAACAGGCTAGAGACATATATGGTTTTCCTTTATTAAGGTAAATTCAATGATAATTATAAATAATTTTAAAATACATAAATATTAATTAATAATAATAAAATTATATATATATATTAATTTATATATATATATATATGTATATATAGGATAAATTAAAGACCAAATTATAATGATAAAGATCCTCGGATAGCTTTTAGACCAAGAGTACCTGAAAAGATGAAATTAAGAAAAAATTTAAAGCAAAATGACGAAGAATCATATTTAAAACTCGTAACCTTAAAAGAAGAAATGAACCGTTATTAATTGCTTAGTAAGTAATTAATTTTGAGAGAAAAATATAAAATGTAGTTAATAAATTAGACTTGTGCGAATTTTTTATCTGAAATATATAAATTGGAAAAAAATTACTATTTTTTATTTGAGGAAAAGGAATTGTTTACATTTTAAGATTTGGATTCTAGAAAAAATGAAATAGATGAAGATTTAAACTAGATTTTTAAATAAAAATAGGATTTGGATAAAGAATATTGTCAAAGTGTTGGAAAATTCAATAAAGTATAATTAAATGGATTAAAAAGAACTTTTCATGTTAAAAGTTCCAAATAACCAATTAAAGATGATTTTAGTATTCCTAAACCATTAAAAGAAAATAAGGTTAATAGTTTATAAGAATTATCAAAAATTTAAGTTGAAAGTTAATAATAAAATATTATTAAAGTACCTAAAAAAGGATAAAGTTTATAAAGGGTGGAAAAAATAAAAATACCTAAAAAAGATAAAGAATAATAGTAATAAAATAAATAATTATTATAAATAGAATTATAAACGCCTATATTATCAAGAGGGGATAGAACTTTAGATAAAAATTTAAATGAAAATATAGAATTGGGCTTATTTATAGCAAATTTTATCATAGAATCAAATAAAAAATAAAAATTAAATATCGAAAAAGTATTAAATATTGATACAAAAACATTAATTGAATTAAGCAGTTTAAAATAGATTTTGTAAAAGAAAAATAGCGAATTGGTTCCTATATTAAGCAAATAATAATCATAAATATAAACATAATTAAATGGCGTAAATTTATAATAAAGTCATAGTATATTGATAAAGAATCCAAATTTAAGCTCTAGTAATTAAAATAAAAGTACGCTTTTAAATATTTAAGCAAACACATAAATAAATTAAGTCACAAATGCAGTTTTATTTTAAATTAGAAGTAGAGTAGGAAGGTCTAATATAGAATTTATTGATAAATATTTCGAAGAAAATACAAGATATTAAGATTTGGCTAATTATGAGGCTAATTATAAATTTAATGTTTTAGAAGGAAATAAGGCATTGATTTAGAAATAGAATGAAAACGAAAATTAGGAAAAAAATAAATAAGAAAATAAAAGCTATAGTTTTAGTTAACTTGATAAAAATAAATTCAATAAATAATACTTTTTAAATATTAAAAGAAAATATTCAAAGTATTTTGATTTTGAAAACTTTATTGAAAATGAAAGTGAAGAAAATAAAAATCTTAAAAGAAATATTTCTAATGCTATTAAAGAATTTGAAAGGAAAAAGTCTTTTGCTTGAAAAATATTTGTAATAGTGTAAATTTCTAATTTCTTTGATTTTTTTCAATTTGATAAAACTTTATTTTATTAAACTTTATAATATAAGTAATTTTTTTTTTTTTTTTTTTTTTTACAATTATTATATTATTAATTAGTAAGAATTTATAAAGTATATAGTATATTATATTTATATATGATCTTGTATTAAAAATAGTAAGAATATTTATTAAAATCTATGTGTATTTTATTAAAAATAAATAGGAAATGTTATTAATTTTTTTTATATGTAAAATTAAATTTATATATTAATATATATATATATATATTTATTAAATGGTATATTTGTTAATTTTTAGTTAATAAAAAGCTGTACTAAATTATTTATTTTTGCCGAAATTTATATAACTATTTAAAAATGCAATATAAATAAATATATATTTTTATTATATGTAATATATTTAAATTATATTTTTCAATAAAATATATAAGTCTTAAGTAAATATAAAAGAAATTTAATAATATTTAATTTCGAATATTAGATTTAGTTTTTTATTATAAATTTATTATATAAAAGGCATACTTATTTTGATAAAAAGTAAAAATATTGAGAAATAGTAAAAGTTAAAATATCAAATAAAATTAATTGTAATTTTTTGTTTTTTACTTAGATAATGAAGTCAATTTTAATTATACTAATACTGCTAAAGAAAATGATTATAAAATAATTAGTAATTTTAAAAAATACGAATACATTTAAAACTTGACATAATTTATATATATATCAAATGATTTTTATTAAAATAATTAATTCATCTTAAAATTATCTAGTACTTATAAAAAAATGATGAAAGTAATAAATTAAAAAAATGTTAAAATTAATTTAAAGTTTATGACAAAATAAAATATATCGTAAAAAATTAATTTAATTTATGTTTTTATTTTTTGATATATATAAATATCCAAATATGAATTTTTATTTTTTTAAGATAAGTTATTAAATAAATATAAGATATTAATTTAATATATATGTATAACATAATTATATATAAAAAAAATATATATATATATATATACATATATATATATATATATATTTTATTTTTTAAATTTATATTTTTTTATTTATTAATTTTATAAATAAAATATTTTTTAAAATTTAATTACATAAAAATAAAAAAATATATTATTAATATATAATTATTTTTTAAAATTTTATCATCTTTATTTAATGACATTTTCTTTATCTTAATTTTCATTATCTTCAATTTCCATTTTCTTCTTTTTATCTTTTCCTTAAATCATTTTTTTTTTTAATGGAATTCTATCTACTTTTGATACGCCATCAACAAATGAAGTTTTGAATAAAACATTTGCATTCTATATAAATATTTGTTTATTATTTTATGCATAAATATAAAAATTTACTTAATACATTCCATCTTTTAAAGAAATTAATAAAAATTAAGAACTTTAGAATCTTTATGCAATCATATGACCTTTAATATTTTTTATTTTTTTTATTAATTTAATTATTTATATATAAAACCAATATTTTCTGTATGTGATAGATCTAAAGCAGAATCGACTTCGTCTAATATATAAAACGGAGCAGGTTTATATTTAAGTAAAGCTAAAACAAATGAAAGTGCTATAAGTGATCTTTAACCTTTTTTTTATAAATATAAATATATTAATTCAAATATAAAAAATTAACCTCCTGAAAGTTCACTTAAGGAGTTTTTCCAAACGCCATTAAATGCAACCCCTATTTCTAAACCTTCAGAAACATCCTAACCTTCCAAAGGTTAGATTCTGGCAGCTGCTCCAGGTAATAAATCAGAGAAAATTTAACCAAATGTTTAGTTAACTTAAAGATAGCATTTCTCAAGTGTTTCTTTTTTCTTTTTATCTAATTCATCCATATTTTTAAAAAGAAGATTTTTATCGTTTTCTAAAATAACTCTTTTCTCGTTTAGTTACTGACAATCTTTTTCTACTTTTTCACTCATAGATTCAACTTTAAAATTTATTTGTTTTTATCTTGTTTGTTATTCATGT